TCCTGCTGGCTGTGCATTAGTCAAGAGAGGACCTTGGATCTGGATCTCCCATTGCCTGATTAGAGCTCAGGAGGATTTCCTATCAGGAAAAATGCACGGGCTTTTCAGCCTTGAGCAGTGAGATCAACTTAGGAGTCCCTCTACTAAGTCCCCTGGCTATTGATGCTAGAGGCTATGGTAGTTTATAGAAGCAAAAAGCTCTGACCGGACAGATGCTGTCAGTTTTCCCTGCCTACTGGGACCGATTTGCAAGACGGAGGTGCAAGGCCCTAATCCCATGCCCATGAGATCAGTGACAGCTTTCCTAGCTGTTTCAGTGGGTTCAGCATCAGAGTTTATTAAATGGAACATTTCTAACCAGAAAATTGATTAATCAAAATCATTCACTGGAATATTTTCTAATCTCAATTTTCTAACTGTATTAATGTTCTGAGATGCCAAGAGTTTGGAGTGTTACTAGAGAAATGGAAATATATTTGTTCAGTGAAGAAATGCTTTAACGAGGACCACGCTGGTAATTACATTCCGTTAGTATGGCTAGCTAACCTATGAAAACCTATAACAGTTTTCCTATAACCTATAAATGAGATTATATTCCAACATTTTAAGAAAATGAATTAATGAGATAAATTACAACAGTATGGAAGCTAATTGGCAGTAAATTTGCAGTTCCCTGACACGCAGGTTATTGATAGTCTACTTAAAAGCCAAGGTCAAGATTTTCAGAAGTAGCTATTTTTTTGGTGTACCTTATTTTTTTAAATGTCCAGTTTGTGATGCCTGATTTTCAGAGGCAAAGGGCCTAGTGACATTATTAGCAAATTAAGCTCAAATTTTTCAGGTTTCTCTTGTTGGCTCCCCACCACCAATAAGGAAAGGCATCCAAAATCCCACCACTCTTTCGAGTACCGCTCCCTGGTGTTCTGAAGGTTTGAGTGAGCTTTTTCTCCGGTTGATTTGTTTTCAGGATTACTTTTTTCCTATCAGGGTGTGACATGTCAGTGCCCTGCATGTTAAGTGTACACAGATCTGGAACACTGTTAGCTGTTCGGTTTTGCTGTTGTTGTGCAAGGAGAGTAGGCGCCAACCTCACACTTGTTTTTCTCTCTCTCTTTCCCCCTCAGGTTTCAAGTGGCTATCTGGTTGTGGCTTTTGTTTATGTGACTGAATTTGTTGGCACTAAAGCTCGAACCTGGGCTTCTATGCATGTCCATGCTTTTTTTGCTGTGGGAATTATGGTTGTGGCACTCGTGGGATTTTTGATTCGGACCTGGTGGGTCTATCAGATATTTCTCTCCATAACAACTCTTCCCTTTGTCTTGTGCTGCTGGATGCTCCCAGAAACACCTTTTTGGCTACTGTCAGAGGAAAGATACGAAGATACACAAAAAGTAATTAATATAATGGCAAGATGGAACAAAGTAAGCACTCCTTGTAAAATTTCTGAACTCTGCTCAGTCCGACAAGATGATCTAGTCAGTGGCAGAACGGGTGATAATGACTTATCTTCAACGAAGAAGCACAACATCCTAGATCTGTTTTGTAATTGGCACATTGCAAGAAGGACCATTACAGTCTGGCTGGTCTGGTTCACTGGGAGTTTAGGATACTACGTGTTCTCCCTGAGCTCGGTCAATCTAGGAGGCAATGAGTATTTAAATCTGTTTCTCATAGGTAAATATTTTTTGTACTTTATTCTGCTTATGACAGAGCTAGAACATATAATTTAGAAGCATCTAGAGATTTGACAGCCAATTTTCTGACTTTATTCATTCCATTATGGACCTTGTTCAAAACTGTTCTTGTTAACTCTTCATAAAGTTGCTGCTTAACACCAGAGGGATACTGTTCACTGCAAATCTCACTGTTTCTGGAAAAAAAAAAAGAATTTAAAAGTTGTTGAGGCACAAAATTCTCTGTCTGGCTTTGTGGCTGTAAAACCGTACCCAATTTTTTTTCCTCTTTGCCCTGTAAGCGTATAGCAGATCCACACAAACAACAAGAGAACCGGACCAGCAACACAAATTCACACAGCTCTGTTAAATGCACAAACTGGGGAAAAGGCAGTAAAAATGATTCCTGTAATTACTTACAGTCCTGATAATACTTAGTCAGTCTGTACCAGCAACGCATTCATTCTATTCTCAGAAGCAAGAGTAGTTTTAATTTTCTCAGAACTGTATTTTTTTACTTTAGTTGCAGTGTTCTTCTAATTTTGTTTGCCTGACTGTGATCTTCCTCTGGTATGCAAGTTGTTTATAAAGGCTGCTCATGCATTCAAGGTCCGATCTAAAGTTTGTTAAGATCAGTGGAAATATTCCATTGACTTCAGAGGAATCTAGATCAGGCACGCAGCTCTGAGCCAGCAAAGAATTAAATCATGCGCTTTGCTTATGCATCTGAGTACTCTCAGTAAAGTGGATGTGACTGTCTATGTACATAAGCACACTGAAGGCCTGGGACTTTCCTGAATTCGGTTTGTGTTGTCACACATTATAGCACATTGGTAGACTGACTGTTGTGTTGAAGACTGGATGCTAGTATTGCCCAGGTAACTACATTGGTATGATACGAGTGCGGTACTTAAATCACTGCATCCACCTGTTTCAAAAATACTTTATGAGACTCTTAACATACACTGAATAGCTGCTGCCTGTTTGTACCAATACAGAGTCAGAAGACTGCTTCCCTATATTATAAGTGTATTGACATACTATATGTGCTTAGGAATGCAGAATATGTGTTCAGGGTTGTATCTTCTTCCTTGATTTTGCATTGGACATAGTCACATTCTTCATATGAGCAAGTTGGTTTAAACATGTCCAAACTGGCTTAGGCTCACCATAATTTGTCCAGGGGCAAATCATGTTTAAACAAGATTTGTGAACAATTCTAGCCAAACTCCGGTTCCATTATAGCTGCAGAAGTTTTTCTGTGGAAAGAGACATTAGGAAGAGAAAATGTGGATGAGAATGGGATATTGTAAGCAGCTGTCCTCTTTTTAATGGAGAAGAGAGAAAGATGAAGCCCCACTCTTGGCATCTGTGAAGCTGAGTCAGAGAAAACCAGAATTTCCAAGACCACTTTTTGCCTTTTACATCAGGGTGCGATGTCTGCAGCTGGAGGTGGTTGGTGGCTTCAGCTTTGTAGTCCGGGTATAAGTTGGCAAATCCTGAGCAAGGTGTCAATAAGAACCTGAGCAATCTATGTCTAGTGGGCACTCTTAAGCTGTTGGTGTGGAAAGACCTGAAACAAAGGAATGGCGAATGGAGTGTTTTCGGGCACAAATGTCAGTGTTGGGAGAGCAGGGCCAAGGCCTTGCTGTTTTCTGTAACTTTCCAACCATTTCCATGCTTCATTTCCACCACAAATTGAACTGCAGCTTCTTTATGCTGTAAAACCTACTCGCTCGTTCCTTCCTCACCCCCCACTATCATATTTTAGGTTATGATTTCTACTTTCTATTGCCGTTTTTGTGATGAACAAACAAGCTCAGCACACTGGTTATCTCCAGTTTTCACTTACTTATTACATTTAAAATCAGTCTAACCCCTAGATTAACTGAATCCTTACAAAGCGGAAGTCAGAGTTATTAGAAGAGTATGTCGTCATGGGTTAAAACCAAATTAATTTCATACTGACAGGTGCTGTGGAGTTGCCTTCCTATATCATTGCTTGCATTGGGATGGACAAACTGGGAAGGAGAAACACACTCATTCCGTTCCTTTTATCAAGTGCACTGATTTGTGTTTTAATTATGTTCATACCTCAGGTTAGTCACATATAATTTAAAGTGTTCCTATGGTAGAAATTTATTTATTAGAATCTGAGGTCCGTCAATGCAATTGTTCTTTCTAAATCATGTAGCTGATTAAACACCATTTTTAAAATGCAGCCGTCAGTCTAAGGTAGATTTCTATATTTTCACTAGAGGTTTCACATTATCATCACAGGAGCCACATGTAAAATGTTCCGAGGGCTTGAGTGAACCAAGACTAGTAAAAAGTTATACGGGCAGTAGTTACTTACTGAGATTGATTTAAAAAATAAAAAATAAATATTATTTATTGTTTTTAAAAAGTTTCACGACTTTTGAAGGATGTAAATTAGGTTTGGAACAGTGACATTTTCTGATGATTTATTTGTTTGTGCTCTCTTTCATTAGGATTTCAATATATTAATTATCTTAGCAAATATGGCTGGAAAATTTTCAATAGGTGTGGCATTTGGCCTTATTTATCTTTACACGGCAGAACTGTATCCAACAATTGTAAGGTAAGAGCTTTTGCCAGCCATGTATTTTTCATTGTTTTGCTCTTATTTCCTTTCCTTTGTCATGTTCTTGGTCCAGATCCAGCTCCTCTTGACATTTAATGGCAGTGGTCCAAAAGCCTTGGGATGGGATGAGTTTCTATGCCGCTGCAGAGCTGTCTAATAGTTGGTTGTAGAATACATTTTTATTTGTTTTTCATTATCATATGCATTGATTATTTTCACTAAGGAACTAGAAAAATGCTCAATACTTTCTCAAACGTTACTTATACCTTTCTTAACACTCCAGGTTGTTCTGGCTGTGATCCATACTGAATCATGGTGGTACTTAATCTTAATTATGGGAGCAGCTAAATTTCACTGCAAGAGAAATTTACATTGTGTAGCAGTATTTTCTAGTATAATTGCATAACGACAGATATCATCCTCCTGGTGCTGCAGGTGTCCGCGCATTTGTGTTTGCTGTACTTGCCAGAATTCTTATTAAAGTCTTTGTTTTATATGTAGGTCACTTGCTGTTGGAAGTGGGAGCATGATGTGCCGCGTAGGAAGCGTGGTCGCTCCTTTCTGTGTATACCTGAGAAGCGTTTGGATTTTCATGCCACTTGTAAGTGTTTATTTCAATGGTGAATGGTTCTGGTTTTGAAAAGGAGTGTGTGTCACTCATTTTTTCAGGAAATTACAGTTGAAGAACTTTTGAAGAGCAAATGGAATGAACCATTCTTGTTCTAAATTTTAAGTCTCGGAGTTTAGTAACTTCATAGTGTTAAGAATATGCAGATAAGCAAAAGATATATTTTGAGTCTCTAAATCTTCACAGAAGTTGTTATGACTGATGACATAAACATAGTTTATGCATAGTTATGCACTGAATCCTAGTATAAAATTGATAAAAATCTTTTCTACCAAAACCATGCTTTATCAATCATGTAACACTGATGACATAACTCACTCTGTTTACTCAGCAGGCCTAGCAGTTCTTGACCATGCTGATAATTTACTCTTACCCGTTGGTCACAGGGTATTTTTTCTGTTCTTGGAATTCAACATGGGTGGCTCACAGGCTTTTTGTAATATTATTCCTGAATCATCTTTTCCGTGGTTGCCATGGGACATTGCACCTTTGGAATAGCCTTCCAAAAGATCGACAATTTCATACATTTACTGTATTTGGTATTCAAAGCTGTCCCACAGCACCTTTTTTGCCTTTTTCGTTCACATATTTGTACAACATATTTTGATTGTTTCCTGCTCACAAACAAAACGTATTTCATCATTATTTTCCTTCCAGGAGACATTTGCTGCTTAGGAATCCTGCAGCTATTCAAGCCTTTTTTTTCTTTTGAAGGGTAATTTATGCCCATATATGAAGAAACATAAGTAATTACAAAGTTTTTATTAAGGATTTAAGTAGAGAACGAGCTTATTAACCATTTTAAAATCGTTTCAGTTCTTTCAAAACCCACAGAATTCATTGTGACTAGCAAAGCAATGCTATATATCGATTATATATGTCAGAAGGTGAAAATGTAATGGGATGAGTTTTTGACCTAGATTCTTACTCTAATTTTGTCCCTCACGTTGAATTTCCTGCAAAATTGGCATTGTGTCCTTTTGATTTTGCAACTGTAAAATCTTCCATTATAACTGCTGGAGATTGCTTGGAGAGAATTCTTGGGAACTTGGTTCATTATTTAAATTAATTACTTCCAGTTGTTTGGGATGAAATTTAAGAGGATGAAGCAGACCACAAACTGTTTTCTTTCTTAATAATCGCCCTACACAAACCAAGATACCAACCCAGAACAAAAGGCATAGAAATCAAAATTTGCACGACAGGATGATCCTGGGAGAACGTTCTCTTTCTTGTGTCAGTGTTTTGCCTTTACCAGTTGAGATAAGGTTTATCTGTGCAGAAGTGCTGCAGTTAAACCACAGATGGGGAATGTTGAAACATTTGGGAGAGCAGTGCAAATGGCAATATGAGAGGAACTATTTCACATATGAACAACTCAGTGTACAAAAAGTATTTGGAGTAGTTGTGGAGGTGTGTAGTAGTTAACTGGGAATATGCTTTCGTTATTAGCTCCTACTACAAAGCATTTACCAATTTATTAAATAGACTTGTCTTCAGCTGGAGCATAGCATGCCAAGTCTCAGCTAACGTTAAGTGTTTTGGAATTAAAATGAAATGAAATGGATTATATTTTTAGAGAAAACTAACTGATATACCTCATTTTGATCTATTGTATACACCACACATTACCAAGCAGTTAATGCTGCTATTTGTCTGACGGTCTACCTTGCTTACAGCTCCGCTGCCTGTGGGTAATGCAAGATATCCCACTGAATTCTTATAAATGTTGAATAACTTGCCAAGTATGTTGTTCCTGCGACAACTTTCTAGAAAACTTACAGTAAAACAAATGATCTCTGTATAATCTATTTGCGTTTCTCAGCTGTTAAGAATTATGTTACGTTAGCCCTTTAACAGACTTGGTTTCTCTCTGAGATAAACCATAAAGTACAAATTAAAAAAGTAACTCCATTGAAGTCCGTAAAGTTAAATAAGTGCAAATCTTGTGTCTAATACTACTGAATTTTCAGGACAAAATTTAATCTTTTTTTGTTAAAGAAGGATACTTATTTTATAAATAAGATCACATTTTTAGGTTGGTTTTGAGCTATCAGGTTTGGATATAAATATTTTTGATCAGCAGAGCAGAGGAATCTTTGGTTCTTTGAAGCAAAAAGTATTATTTTTTGAAGGATATTTAATGCAAATTATTCTTGTTCTAGATGGAGTATTTAAGTCCTGGCCTTTAGACCAGTGTGAAATTAAAATTGCTGCTTCAGGTAGGGGAGGAAGACATAAGAAAAATTAAAATGATAAATCTATGTTTGAAGTTATTTATGGTAGCTGTTAGAAACTGCCAGCTATATGGGAACATTGGAAATACTTTGAGAATTTGACCTAGTAGAAAGTCAGATTTAAATTAAGGCCCTGAAAACGCAATGAATTTAAGCAGGTACTCCTGTCCCATTAACTTTAATGGAGCTTCAGCATAATTAAATACCTTGCACAATAGTGCACTTTAATCCATAAACATTTACCTGGTTGATTACATAAGAAGAGCATTTTCTGATTTTGAGTTGTATGTAAAATATTACATGCACACATAATATACACATTTGTTAAGAACAAGCAAAGGGCTAACTTGTGTCAGATACATCATGAAGAAGGACGCCAAGATAACCCTGCAAAAGACTCGTTTGACTAAATGTGAGCAACTGTTGATAAGTGAAGTTTCTGCCTCTGAAAATGTAGGTGACGTTTGAAAAGTCCTTTCATTAGCATACTGTGACTTAATTTCTTTCGTATTCTATCTTTTTGTAGGAAATAATGCAAAATGCTTTGTAGAGTCGGGGAGAAGGGATACGCAATGAGTTAGCAATTTGGGTGCAGTAGCTTTTTCACACTGAAAAAGGAAACGAACACATGGTGATGGAATACAGAGAGCTGAGATTAAAAGGCAGGAAAGATGGTGGTGACTACGCTTACAGAATAGGGACAGTTAGCAGGGGGATGTGGGGTAGCTTCATGAGGAATTAAAACCTGAGAAGAATGCAAAATATCTTAAAGACTAACTGGAATAGCGAAGACGCATATTTAAAGCGCATAGTTTTGCTGTAACCTTGTTCTGATGGGCATCAGTAGTGACCCTGTTCTCATATAAGCCAAATGTATGGATATCCATGGACATTAGTAATGTATAGGCTTCAGTATCCTTTAGTAGCCCTCAGTATCCTCAAATATAAGCTTCTGACAGCCTAAATGGTATGTATAAGAGAGTTACTGAGGAATAGCTGCCATATTGCTATTCAGCCTGTCTTACTACGGCAGAAAAATCATGTTTCAATAGTGGAGAAGAGTTTTGCCACTCAGAGGTGAGAGCTGAATATTTCAGAATATATTTTAAAGACCTTTCTTGCCATATATATATGTCTGCAAGGGTTTCGCTCGGTCTGTCACTCAGTTTTATTTCCACTGGTCCTATTACTGCTTTTTTTTTTTGTAATTTCTCATAATTGGAGCATGACTCTCTTATTTTCACTGTAGTTTTTAGTATTCAACAGTATTTTGCTTAATTTTTTATTTTGTCAGCTTCTATATTCAATCTAAGTTCAAAAGAAGAGTGTACGCAGCAGTGTGGATTCTGCTTCTCAAAAGACTGCTTGAGACAAGCTGTCATCTTAACTCAGGGGAGGCAAAGGCAGCATAGTGCATTTACATGAAAAAGCTCTGTTCAGGGTTACTATGGAGAATTCCAGTTTTAAAGCTCCTTTCTGACTTAAGGAGTTACTCTCACTTAGAAGCAGGTGATAGCTGGCTGGTCCTTGTCTCCAGCTCTGTGCGAGAGACCTAGCCGTAGTAATTCCAGATGTTCTCTCAAAAGAATTGAACAAATGAGGCAGACCTCACAATCAGCATAGGGCAAAGGTAAGGTTAATATAGTATCACAGTACCAGCTGTAAAACAAGAAAAACACTCAGCCCAGGCGTGGTGTATTATATTTAAGGATTTGTATAAAAATAGATTTGGGTCGTTTTGAGTCTAGCGATGGAAAAAAATCAGGGTTTAACGTTTGGTCCGTATTACGAAGGAGTAAAGTGTGAAATGTTCTCATGGAACAAGGCACAGAAATGAAGGAAAAGAACAGATAGCTCTGGAGCATGTGTGCACTTCGGTATCTACCCCGGACAATCCCAATCCTTGTCCCACTTACACTGAAGTAAGTTGCGGTTATAGTAGTGTGTACACTATGGTCAAATCCAAGGCATGATCACAGTGAGTACGTCAATAGGTGCCTGCACTCTTGCCAGGTCTTTGACTGCGGTTAAGGAAAGTCTATAAAGAGCTGGATTCAATATCTGCTGAAGTACTGTCCTGAGCAGGGATATGCACTCAGCTACTTTTTTAGTTCCAGGCCTAGGATCCATATTCAGAAACTGTAGGGTGACTCCACAGGAGAAACAGGCACCTAGATACTGTAGGAATAGCTTCAGGATCCAGAGAGCGAGCAGAGGATATGCATGGCAAGGAAGTTTTAGCACTGTGAAAGTGCATGTAAAAATGAATGTATGCAATCCTAAAACCAGTTCTTGAATACACACCTGATAAGAGGGATACCAAATGTACCAAAGATATATATATTCTCTTTTCTCAGACAGAATTCTTCCTCCTTGCACTGTATTGATGCCTTGTGGAACAAAACACTTCACTTCCTCTTCATTAATTTTGCTGTATAATCTTTCATCTATACTCACAGATCTTTTATGCAGTCAACATTTAAGACGTATGATCTTTGCTTGACATTACAGTTTCTTGCTCTTTATTTTAAGTGCTTTCTCAAGCAAGATCAAAGATTTGCAGGACTTGAAAGACATTTCCACCCTTACAGCTTCTGTTTATTTCTTCTAGTTGCTTGTTGGAATCATGGCTCTTCTGAGTGGAATATTAACCATAATGCTTCCAGAAACTCTTGGAAAACCATTAACTAATACTTTGGTGGAAGCTACAGAAATGGGAAGAAACAAGGAAAGCTGTTCAGGGAAGACTCCTCCAGAAAAGATAGAGATGTTTGGTCAAGAAACAGCCAGCATTGAGAAATGAAACAACAGCAAAATGGCTGTTCCTGATTTTACTCACTATGTAATTCTTAAGGTCATTTTATTCAAGAAATGTGACTGTACTGTAATAATCTGTGCCTTTTAATTTGTATCCAGTCTTTCCTCTTGAATAGAGCAAGTATACAAAACCTTTTCCACAAGAGTCACGTACTACAGAAAAATTGATGGGATTTCTAGATCCTCTCTCAAACTTTTTCAGAATTTAGAAAACCTATCTGACTTGTTGTGACCGGTAGGAATGACTACTCTAAATTTTGAAAACTACCTGATTATACATATGTACAAAAACATGTCAATTCTTTGCTTCACATTCTTTGCAGCTATATTTGGAAACCCACTACAAAATGCCCTGTCCCCAGTCCTTCCTTGTCCTACTGCAATCGACAGTTGCAGGATTCAGACTTCAGACCATGGCAAACTCAAACACACCGGTATAATTCAACAAAGACTTCACATGGCATCAAGTCATACCAATAATTTTCAAGTTAAACTGATTTATCCGATTTATTTTTCAAATTTGCTACTGGAAAAGCTGCCATTGCTAGCAAAGAAAAGTATTCTGTGGAACAGCTTCTGCCCGAAACAGTAATATTACATTTGCAGAATGTGCAGCTAGTTTGTTTACTGTTCATTCTGTTGAATGGCAAATGTATTTTTGTTAGTGGTTTAGAAAGAATTATTCACTGGATCTGTTGCTGTCTTAGTAAATTCTTTTTAGTTTAGGTAACACTTGATGCCTTTAAAAATCTCATTCATTCCAGACTGTTATTTCAGTGCACCCTTCTCACTGATTTCAGCTCAAATCTAGCATCAGAGTCTTCTTACTTTTGAGAGTTAGGCCAGCAGCTTTGCCAAATGTCTGCCACAAGGCCTAGCCCTGTCCAGTCCTCAGTGAAACAGAATAAATGGCGCATGGGTCTTACTCAGGCTCTCTACACAGAGGTGGATTTAATTATGGCAAATGTTTGGTAGACATGGTACCTACGCACTGTTTTTATCGTAGGCCATCTCTCGGTAGCTCCATTTTTTTCCTCCTACTATGCAAAATCCAAGACAAAATTAGAAATTAAATAAATGGCAGCTGGAAGAAACTGATCAGCAGACAGAATAATTACCAGCTCCTGGTAGTTTTAGTTCCAGTGACTGCAAGCGTCCCACTGTTGTCACACCTCATGTGTGCATCAATACTTATTTGCTGGTTCAGCAATTGTGTCTTATGACTGTGGACCATAGAAAATGGATACAGGTCTGAACGCATCATTCTGCCTGCTGCTTTTATGGCTTCCTGTCCCAGCTCTCCTTTTTCAGCGTACCTCCAGACACGCTTTTTTTTTCCCCCCTGAGATCCTCATCTCTCCGTCACCCTTGATTTGAGGCAGGCGGCCGAGTGAGCTGGTGTGTGTCTAGGTCGATGGAGCCTGCCGTTGCCTGGGCTATGTGAACTCTGTCATCCCCAGATTGAAATCAGAATTTTTCTTGTCCTAGATACCTTCTCTCAAGCTAGCTCATCAACCTCATCAAAACAAGTCTTCCTTTTTTACTTCTTGGCCATGTACCCTGAAATAAGACATCTAAATTACTGTAGCTAAATAGTCTATGTTCTGTGTCAATGTTCACATTTTTCTGTTATGTCTGCACAGTCATATTAGTTTCAATGACTTCTAAACCCAGAATTTGGTTTATACCTGCTTATGAAAAAAAAAAAAAAAAAAAAAGATTTCCTCTCCAAGCACTGCACGGTCCTGGAGTACCAAGTAGCATTTTGGTCTTGGACTTAGGACGAGCTCATATCCTGTGTGAGCACTAACATGTTTCAAAGCTAAACAAAAATCAACAAGGTGAAATTTAGGGAGTTTCTGTGTGATAACTCCGTGTAAAGCCAAATGGGATCTTTATTCTCCCCTGGGTTATTTGGGTGTTCCAATATTTACAGAGAAAACCTCAGAAGAGGACTGCATAGAATATTATGGCTTCTGTCCAGATATATTAATTCAGCAAAAGCATGTGCTTAACCATAACCATGTGAGTAATCCCATCGTTATTCAGAGGAGTGCTTGCATACATACTTTGATGACTAAAGATGGGATTACTCACATGCTATGGCTTTTTATTTTGCTGGAGAGCGGCCCTAGTATTCTTCCACTACTTTTCCCCTCCATTCCCCAGGGCAGAGCAGCTGTCCTTATCTGCAGCATCTGCTTCCAAACCCTGCACGCCCTGCCTTTAACAAGGGCTTAACAGTGCTGCGAGGGAAAGTGCCTTGCAAAAGTCCTGGCTGCCTGACATTACAACCACTGTCCCTCACAAAGCTCCAAGTAGTTGCATTATCTGGGGTTATTTCACACTGATACTCCTTCCTTTTTAGCTCATGGTCCTATCTAAACCACCTTAGTCCTGAGTGCTGGAGAGAGTACAGTATATTTCTAATAAGGTACTAAAGCAAGATTGAAATTAATTTATTGAAAAATTGTTTGGGGGATTATTGTTCTGTGGGATTGTTTTGGGGATTATCCTTCAGCTGATGCAGGTTAACTTTGCAGGTTACTTGAGCGATTCGGGACCAGGTCTTCTGTAAGCAGGATTACAGAGAAAAAAGAAAAAAAAGCAAAGACCTAAGTACACAAGGATACCTGAGCAATCCTTACAGGCTACAATTCTTTAATGATGATTCTGACACAAAATGTAGCTTGTGGGTTTTTAACCCTTTAAATCAGTTCCCCTTGTCACTGAAGTCGGTTGGTATTTGGTCTTTGATTCAAATGAGACCTGGGTTTTCTCTGAACGAATGATGTCACTTTTCTCCTGGAAATAAAATGTTTATTGACCTACACATACACCTTTTGTGATTTAATGCATGAGTAGCTTTGAGGATGCTCTGTTTTTTAGCTGAAGAAGCTTATTACTGTGAAAAGGAAATAGCATGTGTGTATGTGTCCATAGCATTTCTGTTTACTTGGTTTTTCCATGTTGACAAAAATATGTTTAATTATAAATTAAATGCTACATTATAAATGTAGAAAGGGTGAGTTGGTTTTCTGTAGAAAGGGTGAGTTGATTTCTTTCTTTTAAGTATTCATAAATTATCTGAATCCTCTTGAAAGAGGGCACTGAGTTTGTGAAAAAATGCTTCTGTTCCTGTGAAGCATATTTTCCCCTCATTGCTCATTAAAAAGAATTCTTTCCCATGGTTTCTTATTTGAGTCCTTAAATTTTTTTGTGTTTGTATTTGTCATCTTGATCTTAGTGCAAATTTCTTAGGCTGATCAGTAACTCTGGGCGTATATAGTGGTTTGATAAGACATTGGATGAGAATTCTGATCTGCCTTAATTGCTGGTTATTATTACATTATTGCTGCAATGATAAACGTTTTTGTCCTAAAATTGATACTAAATTTTATTAGACAGACTTGCAGTTTGTCATGGGCCTACTTTCTGGGTTAAATAATGGGAAGGAGAGCAATTATTATTATCTTAATGCTAACTAAAGAAAAATAGTAAACATGTGTGATATTTTGGATCTACTGTATTTTAAAACTTTGCTAACAAAGACATATTTCCTACTCCAGTTCTGACCTTAATTTCTTTGTTTAAATTTCTATAGTTTAATCAACTGTGTAGGAAAAACAGCTATGCAAACTGCGTGCACAGTCAGTACCCTGAATGTCTGAACAAGGGAGGGAACGGCGCCTGAAGGCTGAGAGGCTTTGTGCTCTGTGGAAACGGGAGACTGTCTGACATCCCAGCCCCGGGCTAAACCCTTAACACGAAGCGGCTTAGGGTTGCGCTCTGCAGCATGCAAGACCTGTGCGCTTACAAAATGCAAGGTGTTGGTGGCTGCAAAAAGGAGGGTCTGGTTTATGCATCCTTGCGAGGTGCTTTAGGTTCAACTCTAAAGGTGGAAGGTCCAACCATAGTGGAAGGTTTTGTTATGAGAAATAGTGTGTAGAAGATGAAAGATGTTAAGAATAACTCACCGAAAGCCAGTTCAACTATTTGTTTGTTAAAGGTGAGAAATTTGAATAATTCCTGATACTAATTTCAGGAGCAGCGGGTTCAATCAAGTTGAGAAAAATCAAAGCTTAACTAAAACTCACATCCTTTTCTTAATATGATTGATGTATTAATATGATTGCAAAGAGATGTATACAGAAAACAGCTCTTTCAAAGAAATCACTAGCTTTTTATTTTAAATGCACAAAGATTGTGGTTAACCAGAAGTAATGAGAAATATCTCATTTAGTGACAAACCAGCACTTCTCTGCATTCTTGTCTAACACACAGGCTTGGATAACGCTCAGGTGTCTGTTGCAAATAAGTAGAATCCAACCATGGAGAATTCACAGGCATCTAGTTACTCATGTTGCCTCATAATATTTCATATGTACAAGGACTGACTTGCACAGGACTAAGAAAAAACTTAGCACCAAGGAGCAATTCGAATGCAGACTCTCTCCGAGGTCTCATTGCTGCTGATGAGAATCAAAAGCAGTTTTGACTGAATTGCTCATTATCATAGCAAAAATATCAAGGATATATGGGCAACCTCTGAGTACATATTTTCACAAAGCTTTTCAATAGGCATGTCAGTATTGCCAATATCTTTCTCTGTATTGAGAGGATTCCCTCGGGAGTCATGAGAAAACAGTAAAATGAGGTGCAGTGTAGCTTCTCTGCTGAAATGATAACTTGCCATGGACAACGATGCTTCACTTCCTTCACTTGGAACTGGTTAAGGAAGAAGCGATGGAGAAGGGATCCATGCCATTCATAAGATCAGAAACAGGTTTGTACCGTGATGTTCATATAGGTCATTTCTGGTTATTGCTACTGCTTTTTTCAAAAGCATACAGAAAGAAAAGGGAGTCCTAAGTTAAAAGGGAGCCTTTCTGAAGCGCTGCCCTGGCTGGGTTAGTGGTGTGCTGAGATGCTCTGCCACCACGCGTTACCGTTCAGAAACGCCTCCAAGTTCTGTCAGTGCCGTGTTTGATTTATGCCAGATGCCTGCCTATCTCTTCCTGCGTGGCCAATCCAGGAGTTGCACTTAGTCAAAAGATACAATAGCCACTATCACAAAACCTGGCAGGGGCATTCTTGAGATATAAATAGGGTGAATGTTGTACTTGGAGTGCTATTTAGCCAATTATTCGTTAATTCAAAATTACATACGGTGCACAATACACAGAATAATGCATCCACAAACATCCTGGGGGTCTTAAGCAGTTGGGCTATTATGTGGAGCAAAGACATGTCCCCTCTTGTGCTTTTTTCCCATCTTTTAGGAGAAAGTGCTGACATCTATAGCAAAAACTGGTCATGCCTTGAAGGCCTCGGTACAGAATGACTTCTGTTAATCTTCTGTTCATAGGGGCCAGGGCTGTGGGAGTTAGACCAAAGATGCACTGTATTGTGCCGGTCATTTTAGTAAGGAACAGAGATACAAAAAACAACGGTAGCTCTAGAAATTTGAAATTGCTTCTCTTCATAGCTGTCTGCATAGATGAACATTCGTTATGGAAAATCACACATGTAGCTTATATAGAAGGGGAGGACAAACAAAACTCTTCATCCTAAAATCTGGTGTACATTAGTTATGGGAACATCAGTAAGGCACAGTGTGTTCCAAAAGACTTTAGCACACGGAAGAGTAAGAGCTTCTCTATGAAACGGCCACAAGAGTTGGTATCACATGGGCAAATCAGCTTGTTTGCTGGGTCTCCTTCTCAGGAAACGATACACCGGGAATCCCCCAAAACTTTCGGGCCTTGCGTAAACATCTGACACAAAGGTTTTCAATCCGAATCCTTCAAGTTTGGCAAAGTTATAAGCAACTAGAAATAGAGTATCAGAATGAAAAACAGCAGGCAGTTTTAAACTTAGCTGGCACTGTGACCTCTGTTTGTGTTTGAGGGAGGAGAGGTTTCCGAATCTGAAAGGTTCCTCTCCAAAATTATAGACATCCTGCAGTCACTTAAAATAGTGTGCATTTTGCCATAAATGCCTCACGCCCATCAGCTTTTTCACTTTAAAGCAAACCAACCTTTGCCTTTCTTTCTGCCTCCTTCCCTATCTAACCAGTTCTCTGTTTTCTTACATTCTCAAAACTTGTAGAGAAATCAAGCTATACAGTTACTCTGGCAGAATTATTCCTCATTTACTTCACTATTACAGAGAAAAAAAAGCCACAGGAACTATGCATCGAAAAAGGTCAGCGATTAGCATAGCTATAATAAACCTGGTCTTTAGTTTTTCCATTTAAGAACACAGCTAGATTCTTTGAAGAGTTAAAAATATTTTATGTGCTCAAATCTTCCAAACGGGAAAGAAGTTCGTACACATTGGATTCCTTATCTTGTAGCAGCTCTTGGATGCTCAAACGAAAGTCTGCTAAGTTGTGGCTTTGCAGGATTTGCGCTCTTTTTGTAGGATCGAGCTCTGTAGGCGTGTAGACATTCGGGAGGCGAGAATAATTCCTCAGGTGCTGCGCACACAGCTGGCGTGTCCTTAGTCCTGCTGGTGGTTGCACGTACAGATGCTGTCTGGGTAGCTGCCTGCTCTTCGTTGAAATGCCTGTGAAAAAAAGGCCTGTTTGGCAGGTTCCTGGCAAATACTGTTTGACAGGGCGAGGGCAGAGCAGTTTCCAAACACCTGAGCCGTCCTGCATCTGTTCAAGGCCTAGTGCTATGGCAGGCAATTATTAGCCGAAATGTCGTGCCAGAAAGGGAATATCAGTTCTGGAGGTGGGTCTGCGCGAAGCAAACCCTGTCTCATCTGTAAGACACAGAGCTGCCGTATCACAGGACAAAGTAAGGCTCTGACTAATGAAATTATGGTCCTCAAACCATTTTGGCAAATGTTTGGCTCTGTGCCCATGAGTCCCCAGGCATATGAGATTAAGCTGGACCAGTTATTACCCGCGAGAAAGTGAACTCTTCCCATGAGGAAATTGTGTCCTGGAGCTGAAAACCCCTGGTATACAGTTTCATCAAAATCCCAGTGATCCTGCAAGCAGCTTTATTTTTTGACAAACTTGTGTTTTCTGGTGAAGAAGATTAATCAAAAGCAGCCTGACTAGCCAGGCTCACTAGTCCTTTGCCACTTAGCAGGGACTTGTTCTTCATCCAACTGGGATGACTAAAAACAGGCCTGCAGATACGCTGCGCTATTAAGATCCTGATTACCACCATGATTACTCGGGTATTTGGGCAACCCCAGCGCAACCTCAGAAACATTAGGAACATGATCAGTTGCTCGGGAGCGAGGAGAAGAGAAAATGAACTCTGCAGGAAAATCACCAAGAAAAAAAGGAAATCAGCGGTGGGTGAAGCAGGGCAGAGCCGCAGCCGGCTGCCGGCTGCCTGGCTCTCCCGGGAGATGCGCCAGCTCCG